AGGAAGCAATGATCACATGTGGGAGGAGAGGGGTGGGTTGGGAAGGAAAGGATGCGGGGCACGCGGATCTGACACCCCGGTGTGGCCCCTGGGCTCCGAAGGCCAGGGTAGGTTAGTGTACACATGAGGAGAGGTCGCCCCTCCTGGCCTGTTACCAGGCACCCTGGCTTGGCTTCTCCTTGTTCAGACAGGCTTTGAGCCAGCGCTAAGTGTGAAACAAAGAATCGTGGGTGTAGAAAGTCCCGTTTTCTCTCTGGAAGGATGTTTGCTCCAGCTTGAGTTTACTAGCAAGTGATGCAGGCAATTAGGTGGTGGGGGGGTGGGAAGGGAGTGGGGCATAGAGGGCAGGGGGTGTTTCCCAACACTGTAGTTTCTTAAAGAGAAGGAACAACCCATGATCCCTGGACTGAGACCATTACAAGATGTCCTTCCATGGAGTCTTCCCCAGAAGGCAGACTTCATAGGCTCACGTTAGTTATGTGTGGACAGAGGGTCAGAGAGGTTTACCCCTTGCCGAGGACTGTCAGAGCACAGAGCCCTGTCTGAAGAGCCCAGATGGATTTTAGAGCTCAGAACCATAGGGCATTCCAGGCGGCTCAGCAGTAAAGAATCTGCCTGAAATGCAAGAGATATGGGTTCAATCCCTGGGGCTGGAAGATTCCCTAGAGAAGCAACCCACTCCAGTATTCTTGCCTGGAAATCCCACAGATGGAGGAGCCTGGCAGGCTATAGTCTACGGGGTCACAAAGTGTTGGATATAACTTAGCAACTAAACAACAACAACCATAAGAAAAGTTTAATGTGAGTTCCCAAACTTGTAACAGCTTCCATTTCTAACTACTTTTCACTGACAATTGACCATGTGTTTCTTCTTGTGACTTCAAAAATAAAAGATGTATGATTGATTTGATGCTGGTTATTTGGGAGATGGTAGCTTAAAGCTAACTTATCTGGAACTAATAATACATGAAACCTCCTTGAGAATAGACTGCTTCGGGTTTTTTTGGACGTCTAGACTCTCCACAAGACCTTTTATCTTTTCATCTATGAGATTCCAAGATGGCCAACAATTGGCTTCATGATCCTAGGTTAGGGGAGACCAAAGCAGGATTTACAGGAAGTGGAACATGGCTAGAAATAGGACTGGCAGGGCAGTCTAGGTTGGCGGCCCAAAGGCATTTCTGAAATAGACTCCGTGAGCACCCACTGAGGGTGTCAGAGTGGGCCGGTCCCCAGCTGATGCTGTTTGCTCCCCCACCAAAGATGTGGTTATGGCCACCTGCAGGGTCTCAACCTGCTGAATCAGGTTCTCAACTGGTCTGGGCAACTGTGTGCTTCTAAACCTTAAAGGTTTAAAAGGGATACATAAAGGGATCCTAAGTGCTGCCGAAGAATGACTTGGTGCAATAATAATAGATCCTGTCCCATGTACTGGGCACTTTTCCAAGCACTCTGTATGTACTGACCCACTTAAGCCCCAGAAGAGCTCTGGAATGTGACTATGATCCCCATTTTACAGATAAGGAAACAAAGAGACAAGTCACACAGTTTGCAGGTCAGGGGTGGAGCCCCAGGATTCAATTCCAGGCAGTGTTTACCTGGCTGCTTCTCACAAAGGGAGACACAGGCTGGGTCATCACCAGACCCAACCTGGTTTCTAGAGGGGGCTTTGTCTCCTTCCTTGACCCAAATACAGAGTGTTTAGGCTACAATTACACAGAGGGATTGTGCCAAATTCTGCCAGAGTCCACAGAGGCTGGGAAAGAAACAATAAGAGGCCAGATAGGAAGAAGCTAAACAAATAGGAAGGTTTCTCTCTGATCACACTGCTCTCGCTGCCTCCAGAGTTTCAGTTCCTACAGATTATAAATAATCCTTCCCTATATTTACTGTGGATGGCCAGAAGATGCCTGCAGCACCTAAGCTGCTACAATTGTTGAGATTTCATCAAGAACAAACCATTCATAGTCACAAACTCTAATCTCTCCCAGTTGTCAAAGCCAAAATGGAAACATGGATCTATGACATTCTTTCCTCACCACCAGCACCTATAACCCCCCTCCCCCACTCCCGCAGCTAAGACCTGTTCCCAGACCATCCTTCCTTTTCAGTTCTAGAGAAATGGGGTTGTTCTCTGAAGGCATGGTTACATGTAAGGAGGCCCAGAGGATGTTACTGACATATGGCAATGAGGAGTAATGGGCTTTTAAACTGCAGGACAAGAGCATCATTCCTTTTCTGATTGCAACAGTAGCATTGTTCCTTTTCTGGTCACCAGAGTTCAGCAGACAGCGGGCAGAGCTAAGCCTCCTCCCAGGGGTCAGGGATGTGAACTGTTCTCTTGGGTCAGGCACCTGTCATTTGCATGGTGGACGACTATGACTGAAAGGAGTAGGAAAAAAAACTTTTTCTGAAGCTGCAAAGGCAGCTCCTGGAGACCCTGTTCTTTCCTTACTCCGAAATGTCTAAGATTAGACTCCACCACCTACCTAGGTAACCCATTTCTGCATCTTCTCACGCTGGCCTCACGAGGTGGTCAGATGATAAATGGGGCAGCCACTTCACAGCTTCAGGAAATACTATCTTATCTTCCCAACAGAGTCACTGCCCCAAAAGGAAAAATACCAAGTCACAAGGAGTTCTGTTGGAGGCTTCCGAATGAGTGGACTTAATCATGAGCTTGTTTATTTCTTAACCTTGAAAATATTAAATAGAAAGAAATACCACGTTGTACACCATGGCTGGCCCCTGCACAGGGTGACCCCTTGTCTACCCTCGAGTCCTTAATCAGCTGCCTTGTTTCCCTGCCCCTCCTGCAGCCTTCAAGTTCTCTGGAGACCTTCTTTGATTCCCTCGTGGCACAAGCAAAAATCCCCAACATATTCTCCATGCAGATGTGTGGGGCCGGACTGCCAGTAGCTGGATCTGGTACCAACGGAGGTAGTCTTGTGGGTATCTTTTAGTCTTAAAGGGGGGGAAAAAATCACAAACCAGTGGGGCTGTTTTTCCTGCCTTATTAAGACTCTGATAGAAATATTAGACACATAGAGATACATAGGTGCTGTAAAGGTTTTGATAATCCTTGTTTTATAGCCTTAAAAATGGTTAAAATTAGGTAATTTTTAATCTTTCCTAAGCATCCTGCTATCTAATAAAATGATTCTCATTGCTTCCCCAAATTCCTTTAAAGCTTTTTTTTTTTTTTTAATGTTCCTTTGAAAGGTGACTGATTTTGTTGGGTTTTGGAGGGAGGGGCATATGAGGACCTGTGGGGGGGGGTGGTAGTTCGGCTGTGCTCTGGGGAGCGGGGCCTGGGATTTCATAAACTTGTTGGAGAAACAGGAGCTCCTTATGCACAGGAGTACATACACATGCGTATACACACATGTTACACATCTTATACATACACTATACCCATCTTGAGTTCCGAAGAGGAGCATAGAGAGATAAAAAAGTCTTCCTAAGTGATCAATACAAAGAAATAGAAGAAAACATAGAATGGGAAAGACTAGAGATCTCTTAAAGAAAATCAGAGATATCAAAGGAATATTTCATGCAAAGATGAGCACAAAAAAGGACAGAAAGAGTATGGACCTAACAGAAGCAGAAGATATTAAGAAAAGGTGGCAAGAATACATGTAAGAACTATACAAAAAAGATCTTCATGAATAACCATAATGAATAACCATGAATAACCATAACCGATAACCAGATATACTGGCTCTAGGATACCCATTCAAATGGGCCATAGGAAGCATCACTACAAACAAAGCTAGTGTAGGTAATGGAATTCCAGCTGAGCTATTGCAAATCCTAAAAGATGATGCTGTTAAAGGGATGCACTCAATATGCCAGCAAAGCTGGAAAACTCAGCAGTGACCACAAGACTGGAAAAGGTCATTTCAACAACCTTTCATTCCAATCCCAGTGAATGCTCAGACTACTGCACAATTGCACTCATTTCACACACTAGCAAAGTAATGCTCAAAATTCTCCAAGTGAGGCTTCAACAGTACCTGAACCATGAACTTCAAGATGTTCAAGCTGGATTTAGAAAAGGCAGAGGAACGAGAGATCAAATTGCCAACATTCATTGGATCATCAAAAAAGCAAGAGAGTGCCATAAAAACATCTACTTCTGCTTTATTGACTACACCAAAGCCTTTGACTGTGTGGATCACAACAAACTGGAATATTCTTCAAGAGATAGGAATACCAGACCACCTTACCTGCCTCCTGAGAATATGTATACAGGTCAAGAAGCAACAGTTAGAACTGAACATGGAACAACAGACTGGTTCCAAATCAGGAAAGGAGTNTCACTGGAAAAGACCCTGATACTGGGAAAGATTGAAGGCAGGAGGAGAAGGGGATGACAGAGGATGAGATGGTTGGATGGCATCACCAACTTGATGGACATGCGTTTCAGCAAGCTCTGGGAGTTGGTGATGGACAAGGAAGCCTGGCGTGCTGCCATCGATGGGGTTACAAAGAGTTGGATATGACTGAGCAACTGAACTGAACTGACACATACTTACACATATGTGCATGCACACAATACACACATATATACACATGCACACAGATGTGCACACATGTACACACATACACACCACACATACATCATATATACGTATGCTTACACACGTGCACACACTTACACATGTACACACAAGTATATACACATGGATGTGCACATATACACACATACTTGTGTATACATTACACATGCATGCATGCACACACTATATACAGTTACACAGAGATTTACATAATACATACTTGCACGTGCATACATACAAATACATGCACAGATGTACACATACCTACACACATACACACACACACATAGTGAAACAGAGTCAATCCTGGGAACATGCCATATCCCAAGTGTCTCCCTGATGGGCCTGCACCCAGACATCTACGGGAGGAGACAATGGGGAGAATTGTCTGACCCCTCTGCTCTCCGAATGCAAGAAACAGCCTCACACTTTTTTTACCTGTTTTTTTTTTTAACCACCTTTTCAGAGGAGAGGGGTGATATTTTACAGATTTCCAAAATGAAGTTTTGATTAGAGAAGCTCTTTTGTTCCTCTTTCCATGCAAATATGTGGGGCAGGAAGTCATCCTTCGTCTTCTGCAGAACTAAATTTTGTCAGTCTGTGTGGTTAACCATTTTATTGCATTTCTTTGCCCACGGTTGGGATGGGGTTGGGAAGGATCTTAGTATCAGAAAGCTGGAACTGTATGCATTTCCTGTACATAAGAGAAATTATCAAAGCATCCTGATTAGAGCGGGACATCAAAGTCTCTGATCTTCCAACACATGGCCCCAGAATGTTCCTTGTTTAATTTCCAGGCCTATGCATTTGTTTATAACATCCTGTTAAATTGGCAGTACTGATTCCAGTGAAGTTTTGCCTTATAAGAGCATGCTTCTCATCAGAAAACAAGTACTGTATGTTAACATATATATCTAAAAAATAGTAGTGATGAACGTAGTTATGGGGAAGGAGTGAAGGCACAGATGTAGAGCATGGATTTGCGGATACAGGGAAGGAGAGGGTGGAATGAATGGAAAAAGTAGCATCAACATGTATACACTATCACGTGTAAGATGGATAGCTGGTGGGACGTTGCTCTATAACACAGGGGGCCAGCCTGGCATTCTGTGATGACCTGCAGGGATGGGGTAGGGTGAGGGGAGAGAGGTGATATATGTATAATTATGGCTGGTTTGCCTTTTTGTACAGCAGAAACCAACACCACATTGGCAAAACAGTTTTCCTCCAATTAAAAAATAAATTTAAAAAGCAAAAAAAGCACGCTTCTTTGTGTAACTTTGTTATATGCCTATATATTTTTTTCCTCTTAAATATGTAAATGTTTTCCTTCCCAGGTCCTAGGTGGAATTGAACCAACTTTGTACAAAGGAGACATCTGGTACACCCCTATTAAGGAAGAGTGGTATTATCAGATAGAAATTCTAAAGTTGGAAATTGGAGGCCAGAGCCTTAATCTGGACTGCAGAGAGGTATTTACACTCTTATCTCTTTGTGTCTCCTTGTCTGCATGTGCCTGGGCCGCTAAATTTGCATACTTAATTCAGCTAGTACCTGAATATGAAATCAGACTGTGCATTACATTGCAAGGTAAATCAAAAGCTCATGACAATAAAAGTTACAGGGCCTTGTTGTAGATAATTTTATATCAATGACCCTCCCTCTAATTGCTTCCCTTGAATTCCTCCTCTTGAAAAAGAGGAATTAGCATAAAATGATGAGTGAAAAAAGTTATATAGAACCACATCATCCTGGCTTGATGGTCCCTGAATTCTGTTCAAGAGAGTAAAATAAGCAGGGTTTTTATCAGAGTAAAAGGGGACTAAAAATAAGCAAAATGAAACCAGAAATACATCATCAGCTTTATCCTCCATCCACAGCTAATCCCCTATTCCCCTCCCCGACCCAGTACACAGTTCTCACTCGAAGAAACATCATGATCTAAAGATGTGGGTGGCTGATGGTGCTAAGAGGAGGCAGAGCTGGGAAACCACATCTCTCATTAACCTCGTTCACACCTCTCATTGCATTTTGGCTTATTTGTGGCACATAATGACATGATTGTGATGATCTCCAACATTTTCAGAATTGTTTTTAAAAACCACCAGCATTTCATCAGCATTGATTGTATTCATACCTGTCATCATTGCCTTTCACTTTAACCATCACATTGTACCATGAGTATATATAGAGATGCCTCTGCAGAAACAATCAAAGCTTGATAAAGGAATGGTCCAGTCCCCTGGGATGGTGTTTCTGTCCTAAGTCTACAAATCTGTTTATTGTCAAAAGACATTTATTTGCCACTGAAGAGTGCAATGGTAGAATCTGATGGGCTGGCCTAAAATAAAAAGTACAAACTCCGTGTGTGTGTGTATGTGTGTGTGTGTGTGTGTGTATTGGAAAGTATAAGCACCTTTGGAGGTTTGATTCTCATAGGCTTCGTTCTCTCCTGCCCCTCTTCCCAATCTGCCACCTTTGCCACAACAGAGAAAAAAATAAAAGTGAGATCATCCTACTCCAACATTTCAGTATACAAGCTTGCTTTTCTTACACACACAGGCATGATAATTTTGTGAACAAACAAAACTGTATTTAGAGTTTTTCTAAATTGAAATTAGTTTTACACTTGAAAAGAATATGAATCAGTTGCTGTATTTCAGTTTCTCAAAATTCTTCACTCCTCCCACCTTCTACCTAAACAAATCCTTACTTCCTTTTGATCTGATTGGTGTATTTGATCATATGACTCAGGGATTTGCCGTGGAAACAGGAGGATTAAATTGCCCATGGCTCACTCCATCCCGTGGCAGCCTTGCTCATCCAGTTATGTCCCTAGAGGCTGGGTGACTTCTTTGGTCATGGCCCACTGACCTCCACCTTCCCCCTCAGCCACATAAAGAGTGATAGAGGTGAGGGCAGGGCTGGCAATGCCTCTGTGTTGTAAGATTCTCTTACTGAATGGGGCTTTGGTTCCATTCTAAATGAAATATGGAGTGTCTGTTGAAAAACCGTCCTCCCTCCTCTTTCTCTGCTAATGGAGTAATAGAGAGTTGATTTTGCATGATTTACATAAATAAAATTTAGTGTTTCATTTCAACCTTTAAAGACAAATGGGTCTTCCCTCTTTGGCGGGGGGTAGGGGTGAGGGTGGGCGGGGAGGGTGGTGGTCCTTACAAGATCCAGCCACTGCTGAGTAAGAGAAGAGTCCTGAATTAAGCTGTTGATTTTGGTGATATCACTGCCCTTTTCTGGCCTCAGTTTCTTTATCTGTAGTGAGAACACTGGGTGAAGAAGTTCTTGGTTCCCAAGTTCTGAGAATATGAAATGAATTGTAGCCACACTACTGAACATGTGTGTAACAGAAGCAGGGTGATGGCAGGCTGGACCGTGCATTGACGTGGCTGCCCTGTTGCTCACTTACCTTCTCCCCACCCACATCCCCTATTCTAGTACAATGCGGACAAGGCCATCGTGGACAGTGGCACCACGCTGCTGCGCCTGCCCCAGAAGGTGTTTGACGCCGTGGTGGAGGCTGTGGCCCGCACGTCTCTGGTGAGTCCCCAGGATGTTTGATGAGTCTGGGAGGTCACGCCAGGTCAGGACCACATACCAGGGAGTACCACCATGTATTCTAACAATTCCCATCCAAGGGTTTGGAGGGTTGTTTTAATTATTATTTCTTAAGTTCAAGATGTTATCCTTGGATGGTGGTGGTGTTTAGTCGCTAAGTCATGTCCAACTCTTGCGACCCATAGCCCACCAGGCTCCTCTGTCCATGGGACTTCCCAGACAAGAATACTGGAGTGGGTTGCCATTTCCTTCTCCAGGGGATCTTCCCAACCCAGGGATCGAACCTGCATCTCCTGCATGGCAGGCGGATTCTTTACCACTGCACTACTGGGGATTCCCACTTTATTCTTTGATATTAACCAGCAAATAATTCCTTCACTTTAATCTCAGAGGTCTTGGATCTAAAGATGCAATGCTTTTCAGTATTTCAAATAACTATGTAGTTGCTATGGTACTTTTTTAAACTAAGGAAAAATAAACCACTTGGTAACACATTAAATAGTAAACCAGGAATGTGTTTGTAGCTTTTTCAACAAACCAAAAATTATGCTCCTTTTTTGGCCTCCTTCCAAGCTACGCTGGGATTTTTAACTCCTACTTCTGTAACAAAGTATGATTCACAGAAGACAAAGGTCAATCCACCAATATAATAATTATTTTATGGCCACGCTTTGAAATACCGTTAAAATCCTGGTAAAGGACAACACGCCTTGAGGGCCTGGTTAATGTCATCCAGGTGTGACCCCAACTTTCAATTAGTTTGAGCACTAGGATGGACCACAAAGGACCATCCTTCATGGATTGGAAGGACCACAGCTTTAGGGGCAGATGGACTAGAATTTAATCTAGTTTCTGCCACTTATGAGCTGAGTGCCTTGTGGGGCAGGGGGTACTTTTGTGCCCCCTGAGAGCCTCTGTGTTCTTATTGTGGCTTATTGTGAGAGTTTAGGGTAACACAGTGGGTGTTTGGTCAAGAAGTACTTCTATTTAATGTCTAAACCATTGTGCTACTGCTTTTTGTTTGGATGCAAGATAAATATTTCTCTCAGCTTCTTGGGTGTCTTCATAAGCGTCTGTCCACGCAGGGCCACTCTTACAAGGCCACCAAAAAAAGTCTTTCTCCTGGTTCTGACTCCAGTGGGGCTGACAGTCCCACAACGCCACTGGGCTGTGGCCAAACCCAGAGACTGATGGATGGAAGAGGCACAGTGGTTACTTTGTCACAGGTGATGGAGCAGGAACAGAGAAGAAAGAGCAGGCTTTTGGTTGTCCTGGACCAAAACTTCAAAAGAAGTGCTGTGGGAAATGCAGCAGGCAAATCAAAAGAACCCAGAGGGAAAACCAGAAGAAACAACACCGAGGTCCTTTGTGAACCGGGAGGTCAAGAGTACAGTGGGCAGAAAGGCCAGAGCAAACCTCTATCTTGTCTAATATCTGCTGAATCAGAAAAAAAAAGTGGCAGGCAATGTTTTTAGTGACTTAAATTTAGGAAACTGGCTGAAAACCAGACCATGCTGGAAATACAGAGCAATATGCTGCTTTTCTTCAGAGTAAAAAATGTCCTCAGTGAAATTAACATGCGCATCTTCAAATTTAATACTCTGAGCTAGGTAAGGGTTTTACCCACATCCCAAGGACTCACTGGCAGCACACAGCATGTGACTCCAGCAAGCCCGTGACCAGCCTGGGCCTCTGCAGATTTCGTGACTTCAGCCAGAACCAGCGGGGCTGTGGCGGAGGGGCGCTCGCATGCCTGAGGTCAGCCCAGCATGTGTTCAGCAGTGCCTGACTTTGTAAGAAAAGCGCGAGGTGGAAGGAACGAGATTACGAAATTTGTTTGTCTAATCTAAAATTATCCTCTGATTTCAGTGTCTGCATCAGGAAGGAGAGGCCCAGGAGGATGTTTGTCTTGAGCTGGGAAAGCTCAACAAGGGGGGATGCTTTCTGTCTCATGTGCACAGACGGGAGATGTGCCTGAGCTTTCTGTCTGCGGGGTTCATCGTAGCTGGCTCTCTTCACTTGGGTTTTCTTTCTTAGTTAAGCAAAGGGCTGGCTTCAGAGAGGTAAATACCGTACAGATGCCAGGCTCTGTCTCTGGGCCTGGATTGTTTAGATGGGATTTTAGAAATGTTTATAGGTCTGTAGTTCTTTTTAATTACTAAAGTATAGTTAATTTGCAATGTTGTATTGTTTCAAGTGTACAACAAAGTAATTCAGATACACATAGATATAGATATGTAGAGATGGGTTCTTTTTCAGATTCTAGAGTCCTTTGGACAACAAGGAGACCAAACCAGTCAATCCTAAAGGAAATCAACTCTGAATATTTATTGGAAGGACTGATGCTGAAGCTAAAGCTCCAATACTTTGGCCACTTTATGGGAAGAACTGACTCACTAGAAAAGAGCCTGATGCTGGAAAAGATTGAGGGCAAGAGGAGAAGGGGACGACAGAGGATGAGATGGTTCGATGGCATCACAGACTCAATGGACATGAGTTTGAGCAAACTCCGGGAGATAATGGACAGGGAAGCCTGGCATGCTACTATCCATGGGGTCTGGAAAAATAAAATGTGACTTAGTGACTGAACAACAATATAGGTTATTACAAGATATTGAATACAGTTCTCTGTGCTATATGTTAGTCTGTGTTTTCTAAATGAGCCTTGTAGGGAGTTTTGTGTTCGATGGGGACCTAGGCTCCCCGCCTGTTCAGCTGTGATGCCCTTGTTGGCTCAGGCCCAGTGCTTCTCCATCTGCAGAATCCAGCAGCAGGATGCTACCTTCTGTAAACTGACTTCTGACTTCTAACTCTCTGATCTGAGTGTCCAGACTCTCCCCCAGGACACAAGGCTTGGCCCCAGAGAAGGCTTCCAGACTCACCCGCACCACTTTGGAGGCAGACACTCCCCTACCCACTACTGCACTGTGCCCCTTAGGCAGATTACTTGGCCCCTCTGAGCCTCATTCTTCATCTGGAGATTGGAGCTCTGTGCCCTCCCTGCAGGCGCCACCACCCTTCCCTCTTCCTGAAACCCAGCAAGGTGACCACCCCTCCCCCTCTCAACTCATCCAGCAGGGGGTTCTTCCCTGTGATACGTATTTCAAACCAACTTCACTTTCATAAAATGCACAAATATTGGGTTGGCCAAAAAATTGGGACTTTTTGGCCAACCCAGTACATGAAGGCATCAGAGACTTTGCATATCAGCCCTGCAGTGGGTGAAGAGACCGCAGGCCCTTCCTCCCGGTTGTCTGCCCTGAGGGAGGCGGCTCCTGCCCTGCATGGTCCTGGATAGGCAGCTCTCACCGTGTGTTCATCCGGGGACACCGTGTTTTTCTCAGCTGCTGTCCTCCTTGACCTCCATAGCAACCACGCTTACCTGCCTGATCTGTTCTCTCGGCTTCCACAACAGCCTCCTCTTGGAACTTCCTCCCCACCCTGTGCCCTGCTTCATGGGGGTCTCCTTTGCTGGCCCGTTTCTCAGGGTGGGTCCTACACCCCCTCCCTTCTCCCTGGACCCTCTCCTAAGTGATCCCACCCATTGGTCACTGACTTTCAAATGCTTCTGTCTAGCCCAGGCTGACTCCCTGGAGATTAGAGTCAAACAAGAAGTGACCTACACAAATCCTGCTAGAATGCCTTCATCACATCTCATGTGATCCTGATAACTGATCTCTGATAAATGCCTGATGGTGCCCGTGGGTCCCTCCCAGCTGCCCCTTCCTGTCCTTAGTACCAGCCTCCATGGCCTCATGGTGTCCAATGGGACAGGTTCCGTGCTCTTCCCGCCCTGACACTCATCTACTGCTCAACTTAGCTCATGTACTTCTTCCTCTGGGACCTCGACAGACACCCCTTCCTTCCAATCAACCTTTTCGAGCTCCACCTCACATCCCCATCACATCTCCTGGCCCATGCCCTCCTAGCTCCAGCCCTGTCCCATGCCCTCCTAGCTCCAGCCCTGTCCCGTGCCCTCCTAGCTCCAGCCCTGTCCCATGCCCTCCTGCTCTAGCCCTGTCCCATGCCCTCCTAGATCCCCCCATCAGGTGTCCTCTTAGCTCTGCCCCATCACAGGCACCTCTACTACTGACCTGAGCAGGGCAATGTGCTGGGTGTGTGAAAGAAACCCATCTGACAAAATCCTTCCCTCTGGGAGCTGGCAGGAACAGAGCAGGTCTGCTCTTAGAGACCGCTGGATCTGGTGAGAGGACTCAGGAGTGATTTGTAATTAGCTTACAGATTCAGCAACTAGTGGACAAGCATGGTCGGCTTTACCCTTCCGTCCCCTGATGAGAGGCATCGGTGAACATTCTGTGTTCTTGGTCATTCAG